ACTAAGTGACAATGATGTTTCAACGACCAAACGTGGCCGCCCTTATCATTTGTTAATGCAGATTGCAGACGCAACCTTGGTGTCCGTTCGGTTCCTCGAAATGATTGTAATGTAATGTAATGATAGGAACTACAATTTAATGTAATGATAGGAAACATCATGTTTGATTACCTTGAGTTCTTTGGGTTGCCATTACAGATGTGGAAGATAAATTAATATTTTATATCCAAATTAATAATAAACTTAAAAATAAAAAGACCAAGACACCCTTGATAAGAAAAGACATCCCACCCGCCCCCTTGATCCATCTCCTTCCCCATCACTGAAAGTAACCCCAAATCATCTTCTTCCTCCCCTTTTGATACCCAAAAAAAAAAAAAAATCCAACAGGAAAGTCAAAGAAAATGAAAATGATGTTTGTTGAAAAATCAAAGAAACACCAAACTCAAAGAATAAAATCGTAATATGTGGTACTTGAAGGTCCAAACTCCAGATCTTGTTTCATGAATATAATGGTGAAGGAAGAGGAAGGCAGACTCGAAAAAGGTCTAGACTCCAAAAAGATTGACAAAGATGAAGGCAGAGGAAGGAGAGGGGCTGAAATTGATAAAGGAGACATTGACAATGGTGCCATGTCGATGTCGTCTTCAAAGGCAGAGGAAGGTTGATGCCAGCGACGATAAAGGTGCGATGGGTCCACCGGAAGGGATAGGAGATGTAAGAAAGAGGGAGGAGGGAGGAGGCAGACACATAAACGGAAGGGGCATTATTGGATAAATGAGATGGGAATGGAGATTACATAGGTCCAATGATGTAACCCCGTTACATTACTGAGAAAATTATATTCAAATCTCACATAAAAAAAATTATTATCTAGGAGATATAATAAAAGTCATAAAATATTTTTAAATATCAAATCTTGCACATTTATAACTTGATTAAGGACATTGACAATTAGATAATGATCATTTATAACTTATTATTATAAATTATTATTTTTCTTTACAAGTTATAAATGGCCGTTACTCACTTGTCAACACCTTTAGTTAAATTGTAAATGTATAGAATTTGAATTTAAAAGTATTTTATAAATTTTATGAGATTTTTTAATAATAATGTTTTTTATGAGACTTAAATATAATTTTTCCTGCATTATTTGAAGTAATTTTCATCACATGATACAATCCTCTTTACCTTATTTTGGATCAACCAAACAAAACAAAGGGAATGGTGCGTTGCATCAGGACTCCAAGGAGTGGCCTAACAATGCACCAAACCAAACGAGCTATTAATGTTTCAGCTACTAACCAAAAATCACGTGCGCTCCTGTTGTATATCTATGTTAAAGTGGGCCCTCCGTTCTTTTTCCTCGACATCCCTCTCTAAGTCCTAAAAAACGGGCTGAGCCTGTAGGGCTAGTCCATTTAAATTCGATAATTACTAAAATCAGGTTTAAGTTTTAGAACTTCAAAATAAAACACAAACTTATAAGGGCTAGCTCAATGAGTTGAGGGTCTAAATAGGCTGGTCTTGTAGAGCCGAGGGCTAGCCAATTTAGACCCATTTATTTATTTATATTTTAAAATAGTATTTATTATGATAATATTATTGATACTTTTTATAATGTTTTAAATATTTAGCTATTTTAGAATTAAAATTTACATAATATTTTGGTTTGTTTAATATTTTTTGGATAAAGGTTAGTTTGTTTAATTCTAGACAATGATATACTTGGACAAAAAAGTAATTGTTTGATCTAATTTAGATTCTAGATAATAATTTGATTCATGCTATGTACGTGTATTAATATTTTTAAATTATATTTTTTAATAATAGATTATGTTTATATTTATATAATTTTGTATTGTGTGACTTGAATTAGGAATTTATAAATTTTAATATTTTATTATTTGAAATAAGGAAATTTTTGCATAATCAAAATATTGTTGATATTAAGAATTAAGATATTGTCTATATGATTTAACTTTGAAATAAGATTTTGTATTGTAATGAAATAAATAAATTATTTTTAATTTAAAAAATAAAAAAGTAAAAGGGTTCAAAGCCTGCAGGACTGACCTTAAGCCCGTTACACATAGGGTCGAGTTTCGAATATAAGCCCCTCAAAGGGAATTAGGGCTCGAACAAGCTAGCTTGAGCTAGTTTAGGGCTGACCCTTTAAAGTTGAGCCAACTTACTTTTCTAGCTTTACCTCTCTCCTAATTTAAAATTAACATAAATATTTGTTCTTTTTTAGAATTCGAGTAGATAAAATACAAGCAGGCAAATAAATTTCTTCTCATAAAATTAAGAATTATATATTTCTATTTTATGATATACTCTGTATTATCCTTATTATAAGATATTTTTAATTATTTTACGTATTCTAAAAAAATTAATTTTTTTCTTGATATCAAAAATGTGAAATGTGCTTACATTTGTACTTAGCTTTAAATGATAATAAAATTATATTAAAGACTGTCATGCTAATAAAAAAGAGATAAAATTGAAAAAAATAATTTAATTATTGTAAGGTGTTCTATATTTTGGACTAAAAATTATTTTTAAAAGGTGTCTTATAAATAAGATCAGAGGGAGTATATATATATATATATATATTGATTCCCTCTAGCCCAATTTATGACAAAATCACACATATCGATAAAATTTATTAAATACACTTTACAATTTTAATTTTTTAAAATATAAATATAAATTTAAAAAATTCTGTTCATTTAATATTTTGAAAGAATATTTAAAAAGAGAGAATATATTGAAAAAATGTAATATTGAAAAAATGTTATTTATAATGAAACATTATTTTTGTTAAAATATTTTATATTTTGAGAGGCCAAATCTTTTTAAAAATGTCTTGTAATTTAAAATTGAGGTAGTATGTAATAACTTTAATTTATCAATATTTACTTCATTAAAATTGATTTTGACTAAAATTATTTAAACACCTTCAGTCTTATCAAAATCAATTTTAAAAAATAATATCAAAACATAATCATGTTATGACATAATTAATTATAATAAAAACTAATTATATTAAACAAATTTTTTATAATCAATTTTATCCAACTGAAATTTAAACAGCCCTTAAAAATATTTATAATATGAAATAATTTCCCCAAAAATGATGAATATAATAAAACAGAAGGAGTAGTAAGAAAAATATCACGCAGAAAATATTACAAATAAAATGTTTGTTTATTGCAACGAAAATATTCTGTGGAATCATTTAAATGAGAAAGAGGCGGAATTTCATATTACTGAAAAAAAAATGGAGTTTGTACTATATATATATATATATATATAGATGGAGTTTCAAAAATGAAAATAAATTAAGGAGCAACGCCCTTTACTAATCTTAAAATAATGTTACAGACCAAAATATCTATAACTGTTTTGGAGATATAATACGATGGGAGCAGGAGAGACGTCCAGTTTCCTGTTCTACCCTTACAAGAGCATGATTTTTTTAATTTCCCACGTGGGAGAAGGAGAGAACCTGCTTCCAATACAACGATGTTTAAAAATGAAATGTTAGGTTGTGGAAATCAGAAATTCATTTTCATCAAATAATGCATGGAGCTTAATGTTAACTTATTCAAGACACTATTTTTAAAAAATTTATTATCGAGCTTTAATCATTTATAAATGCATTGAAAATGAGATTTTTAGATAATTTATCATTGAAGCTTTAGATTTTAATTGAACTTAATTATACAGTTGTTGAAAATCATTATGTTTTTTTAATCATTTTAGTCCATAACCTTTTTTTTTTCACTTTTTAAATAACATGCAAAAGACTTTAGTTCTTAATTGTGACTCTTGGAATTTGATGTCTCGGTCCTAAACGGTCCCAAAATTTCATGTTCCCTTTATTTATTATAGGGTTATGGCTAGGCACCGTTTAGGAGTTGCATATTTAAGATTTTTTTTTTTTTTTGCCCGGAGTTTCATATTTAAGATAAGCTCTAGAAACAGAAAACATTTACATGTAAGGGGCACTGTACAACAGTGAAATTTGTACTCAAGTACTAGCCAGTAATACCTACCCCTCTAATTCTATTTATAAGGTAAAAAGAGAGAAATTTTTTGATCCTATTTATAAATTATATTATTAAATTTTTACTATAAATTTCCTTTTTTAACCCTTCATTAAATGTTAGAGTGAGAAAATAAGTTATTGAAGTATGTATAATTAATAAGAATGAAGTTGAAAACTTATTAAATTTTTTTTAATAGAAAAAATTTATTAAATTTTAAAACAAAGTTAATGAGTTTTAAAGTTTTTCTTGATATTGGTGAAACATCTTAGAAATAACTTATAAATAGAATCAGAGGAATATGTATTCCCTCCATTCATGTGTATAAAGTGTTTTTAAAAATTTATTTTATCCATAAATATAAAAGATATCATGATATTTTTAAATAATTAAATAATTTTGTGCTTATACTGAAAAATGTATGAGATATTAATTGTAAGTTATACCCACTATCATCATGATATTAACTGAAACATTATTAGAGATAAAATTAAAAAAATATTATAATTTTATTTGATTTTAAGTAAATAATAAACTTTAATTGATATGAAAGATTTAGTTAAAAATATATTATACATATGAGGACAAAAGGAGTACTATATGACAATAAATTGATTGGTCAATAATAATTCTTGATTGATGAGGCAGAAATAGTTATGATCCTCTCTGTGTGCTGACGGAGAAGGGTCCAATCTTGATCTGCACTCTAGTTATGTTTCATCCAACCTAGTGACAATAAATTAATTATTTGAAAATTAAAATGATTTCTTTACCATTATAGAAATAATTTAGAAATTATGCGAATGTTATAAATAGGGGGAGGGGGTGTGTGTAAGTAAGCGTGGAAGAAAGAAGGCAAGAGCTTTAAATTGCAAACTCAGGAATGCGTGCTTAGGAAGGTGTGTGATGTTAGTATTAGTTCAAGACAGAGTAGAGAGAGGAGAGAGAATGTGGAGGCTGAAGATAGGAGAGAGAGGGAATAACCCTTACATATTCAGCACAAATAACTTTGTGGGGAGGCAGACATGGGAGTTTCATGCAGAAGATGGAAGCCAAGAGGAGAGGGATGAAGTCGAAGCTGCTCGTCAACACTTCTCCTCTAATCGCTCCCGTTTCAGAGCCTGTGGTGATCGTCTTTGGCGATTTCAGGTTTCATTTCTTCTAAGTTCTGATTGCTCACAATTCCACTTTTAGGTTTTCTGATTAGAGGATCAAATACGCTATATGCCATGATAGACATTAATCAACATATTAGAAACATTAATATCATGTTTGGATTAATGAAGATTTCAATTTAAACCAAATTATAAGACTAAGATCCAGGATCTTCAATAAATTTTTTAATAATTTAAGATCTTAAATTGTAATTATCATCCTTAAGTGGTTCTTATTTGTTTTTTTCTCATGATCCATTTTGTTATTCCTAGTAATTGGAGGATGCAATTCGAATCTCCCATATATATCATAACTTAATAAGTGCGTGCATGGTTGTTTATATATATATATATATATATATGTATATGTATATGTAATGCAATAAGAAATAAAACAAAAACACACACAGAGACTGACAGACATATAACATGAGGAAGTAAATTTTTTTAATAAAGACTGCAAAAAAAAAAAAAACACGTGCGAAAAAACATTTTAAGTCATGTCAATTTACCAAAGTTTGTACATCCCAACGATAAGATATCAGAAATCGAAATGTATATATTATCAATAAGGCGTTGGTGGACTATCTAATCAATATAACTTTTTTTCTATCCAAAGACATGATTAAAAATGCTCATCAACCTCTCTCCATAAGGGAGCATTTATTCCTATGATAATGGTGGTTGTAGACCTGAAGTGCTCAGTCTGTTATTGAAGAAATAGCACTGTGAAAAGTACCGATGGTCCCATCAATTCTTCATTTGATTAATTCCATTTAATGCTCATCTGCTAATGGGCCTCTTTCCTTCTTTGTCATTCTCAAGTGGCGCACTTGTATTTGCCGTATTCCCTCCACTTTTTTTTTTTTAGTTCTAATTAAATCATTGAGATTAAATGCCAATGATTTTATATATTTATTTTTATTTTAAAATTTTAATAATATTCATATAAAATATTAAATCTGAATAATACCGAATGAGTTATTTTTTTTCTCACTTTTAAATCCAAAGTGAATGCTTATATCTTATTAGTTAGATGGAGGTTTGATTTTGCAGTTTTTGAGAGAGAAGAGTTTCAAACAAACAATACCAAGTGTGAAGATAAAGGATGAAGAGGAAATAACATGCGACAAAATTAAGAACACAGTGAAAAGAGCAACACATTACCTGTGTGCATTGCAAGCCAGTGATGGCCATTGGCCTGCTCAAATTGCTGGACCCCTCTTTTATCTTCAACCTTTGGTAATTAACTTCATTTCAACTCTTCTCTGAAATATAACATTCTTTATATAGTAATAACCACAAGGCATTTAGAACTAACTCTGGCGAATTGTGTAGGTATTTGTTATATACATTACAGGGCAGCTTCATAATGTGTTTCCAAAAGAATATCAGAAAGAAATCTTACGTTACTTATACAACCATCAGGTGAAGTTTCAAATAATCTTATCTTATTTCATATTAACATAACAATAACAATACTTTCAATCCCTCAAATTTGATTCATTTATCAATTTGGCCCCTGGAATTTAATTCTTATCAAGCAAGTCTGTTAATTTCATAACCATATACAATTATTCTTTGTGATGTTATTTACCCTTTCAAACTAAAAAACTGATTATGTGTATGATTTTGAAACTTTAAGAACTTTGTGAGTTGAGGAAGCATACCTCTTAGTTGCATTGATCGAGGTTTCTATGTGGATGAATGGAGTTACATGAATTTTGTCTCTAGTTCACAACAAATGCATGAGAGAAGAGAGAAAGGAGTTTTCCGAGTGCTTCTGTATTGTGTAGAAATGGGAGCACATGTTTTCACAATGACCTCGTGCAGATACCCCTGATGCATTCTCCTTGAAAAAAGAAAGGGAAAAATTGCACTTAAGAACCCAAACATATTACCGCATAAGGGCCCAAATAAGAATAATATTCAAATAAGTCCCCTAAGCCTAGGTTTGACCGAGGGTGGATAAATCCAAGAAATTTCATTAATAAAGATTATACTTTAAACCAAATCAATAATTGAAATAAATTTGCATGAGGGACCAAAAATTTAAATATCCCATTAACTTATTGTGTTAGAGTTTGATATGAATTATGCATATGAAACATGAATGCATTGAAGAATGAAGATGGAGGGTGGGGATTGCATATTGAGGGTCACAGTACCATGTTCTGCACAGTTCTCAACTACATATGTATTCGAATTCTAAAAGAAGGATTTGATGGGGGAGAAGACGATGCCTGTGTTAAAGCTCGAAAATGGATTCTTGATTGTGGTGGTGTCACTTACATACCCTCTTGGGGAAAGACTTGGCTTTGTGTATGTCTCTTGTGTTAATGATTAATTTAGTTCTTAATTAATTAAAGCTTTTTGAACAATATTCTCAATTTAGTTACATCATCAATCATGATCTACTATAGATACTTGGTGTATATGAATGGTCTGGAACCAACCCTATGCCTCCTGAATTTTGGCTCTTGCCCTCATATCTTCCTATGCATCCAGGTAATTAATAATTCATTTACTAAACATTAAACCATTCATAACTCTTAGAGCTTAATCTAATTTCAATGTTGCATTAATTTGAGTTTCTCTCTAATTATTTTTGTTCATTAATTGTTTTATCTCAATCAATTAATTAATGCAGCTAAAATGTGGATATATTGTCGATCGGTTTACTTGCCTATGTCTTACTTGTATGGGAAAAAATTTGTGGGTCCAATTACACCACTAATTCTTCAACTGAGGCAAGAACTTCATGTTCAACCATACCATCAAATTAATTGGAAGAAAACTCGCAACCTTTGTGCAAAGGTGAGACCTATTGATGTCTCCAAGATTATTTAATTAGTAGTTTTTTTTTTATTGTTTATTATGTGCTAATAATAGAGATATCTTTTTTGTACATAATAGGAAGATCTTAATTGTCCACATCCCTGGATACAAGATCTTATATGGGATGGTCTATATATATTAATTGAACCACTTCTTACACGTTGGCCTTTCAACAAGTGGATTAGAGAAAAGGCTCTTCAAGTAACAATGAAACATGTACACTATGAAGATGAGAATACTCGATACATAACAGCTGCAGCTATAGAGAAGGTCTCATTTTCTATATTTAAAAATAAATTAATTATAAAAATGAGTTGAAATTAATTAATAAGTAAAAGTCTAACTTTCAACAAATATTATTCCATACTTGTCACAGGCAATATGTATGATTGCTTGCTGGGCTGAGGATCCCAATGGAGATGCCTTCAAAAAGCATCTTGCTAGAGTTCCTGATTATCTGTGGGTTTCAGAAGATGGAATGACCATGCAGGTTCTAACACACATGCACACTTTTCTACGTTGGTTACAAAATCAACGTACTGCAGTAGTAGCTTGACCAAAGATTTATTTCAATTGAATAATATCTTGTTTGACTATAAAATGCAAGTTGGGGGTTTGATATTTATATGTAGAGTCTCGGAAGCCAAACATGGGATGCTAGCTTTACCATTCAAGCTTTGCTTGTCACTGACCTTATTGAGGAAATTGGTCCCACACTTGCAAAAGGACATCATTTTATAAAGGAATCTCAAGTTTGTTTCACTCAGACTAGAAATCCTATTTATTGTTATTCATCATATGTGTATGTGCATTAAAATATCTATATGCACATACTTTGATGAACTCTTTTTTTATGACAAATAACAACCTGGTCAGGTTAAAGACAACCCTTTTGGTGACTTCAAGAGCATGTATCGTCACATTTCTAAAGGGGCATGGACCTTCTCTGATAGAGATCAAGGATTACAGGTTTCAGATTGCACAGCCGAAGCTTTGAAGGTTATATATTAACTACTAGTCATGTTATCCTAATGCTCAACTTCATGTGTATGTGTGTGGCATTGCCTTATAATTTTATCACTTGTTTTAGTGCTGCCTTCTTTTATCAAAGCTGCCACCAGAAATTGTGGGTGACAAGATGGAACCTGAGAGATTATATGATTCTGTCAATATAATACTGTCACTTCAAGTGAGTATTTTAGAATATGAACCAATCAATAGATATATATTATTCTATTTGGTGTACGTTCTACTAGTTCAAAAATGTGTTGGTTATGATTTATTTTCAGAGCAAAAAGGGTGGTTTAGCAGCTTGGGAACCAATCAAAGCAGAAAAGTGGTTAGAAGTAAGAACTACTTAATTACCCAAATTGATAATTTGTCATGAATGATGATGCATTATACTTTGCATTTTTGGACAATTAGATGCTAAATCCTGTGGAGTTTTTGGAGAAAGTGGTAGTTGAGATAGAAACTGTTGAATGCACTGGATCGTCAACACAAGCTATAGTTTTGTTTAGCAAGTTGTATCCAACACATAGAAAGAAAGAGATTGAGAATTTCATTGCCAAAGCTGTACAGTACATTGAAGATACTCAAAAAGAAGATGGTTCTTGGTATGGAACCTATGGAATTTGCTTCATTTATGCAACAATGTTCGCACTTGGTGGACTTAATGCAGCTGGAAAGACTTATGACAGCTCTCATACCATTCGTAGAGCTGTGGATTTTCTTTGTAAAATACAAAATGAAGATGGTGGGTGGGGAGAGAGTTATCTTTCATGCTCTAAAGAGGTTAATTTTTATCACTTTGAATCCATTGAATGCCATTTTATATTGTATGTGTTTGTTTACTCATGTTCTCTAATTTAAACGATTTAATTTTGTTGATTAATGTTGCAGAAATTTGTTCCACTTGAAGGAAACCGATCACATGTAGTACAAACAGCTTGGGCTATGATAGGTCTTATTCATGCTGGGCAAGTAAGTCAATAGAGTTTCATTTTAAACCCAGATAACATATGATCTTATTGCTAAAGATATGTTCCAATCATCAAACTTGATCCATTTCAAAATTTGTTTATTTATTAATACTTCTTTTTATTGGATAGGTGGAAAGAGACCAAACTCCTGTTGACCGTGGAGCAAAGTTTCTCATCAATTCTCAATTAGAAGATGGTGATTGGCCACAACAAGTGAGTTTTGATTTCTTTAACTCACATTCTCTTATGTTTAATTATTTTGTGGTTATTATTTAATGATTTTTAGATTTCATGATATCTCAATGGATTTTTGTTCATAAAAATATTAATTATTTAATTATTTTAAAATTTTATGATACTTTTGTGTTTATTTTCATATTTTTATCACATTAACATATTCTTTCATCAGATAATCGTATTTTTTTTAAATTTTTATTATTTTTAAAACTTTAAAGAAACATTATAAAAATTGACAAATTATTTATGGCTTTATTTTAGGAATTGACGGGCTCGGCCTTGAAATATTGCATGTTACATTATCCAATGTATAGAAATATATTTCCGATGTGGGCTCTTTCAGAATATCAGAAGCGACTTCAATCAGGCTTTTCATCTCTTTCATAAGCTCCTCATGCTTCATTTGCAAGAGATTCATGCTAGCTTGTGTGTGAAAGCTTTTAAAATTATGTTGATTTAGTGTGTTTATTTATTTCATAATGTTTGTACAATTGTCCATGGTCTAAGCAAAGTGAATACCAAGTGAAATTAGTATATTAGTTGTCAAATGTCTTTTTAGTCTCAGTAAAGTATGTAGATCTCTCTCTCACACACACTTGAAGTACATATCCCACATGTTGGCACGCATGGCTGAATAATAAATATAATTAAATTCAATCATTTTTTTTTAAAGATAACTCTATGCTTTTTCACCAAAAAAAAAAAAAAGATAACTCATACTGAGGGAAAAATTGTATGCAGGCTATAGTGCGAGTTGGAACTTGGAAATATAATTTTGCCACTCTAATATTGCTTTCTTTATATCTTTTTTCGATTTTTCACAACAATGCATATGCAAACTATGGTGCTAGTTTGGAATTAGACCACAAAATTAATTTTCAGTTACATATATTCTATGTAAACTTCCTTCTTCTTTTTTTTAAACTTGTGGCATTTTTTTTGAAAAAATAAAGATAGAAATATTACTGTGCGAAACTATTTCAAACAGAGACAATCTTTGTTTGACCACGTCTCACCTATATTGGAAGTTCAAATACAAAAAACATAGTGTCTTAATTGAATTATTTACAAGTCATGATTATATATATATATATATATATGTTGTATAAACATATAAATTAAGAGGCAAATTTTTTTTTTCAAAAAAAATGGGACTTTGACAAGGTAATAATAATTTGTGTGTGTGAATGTGGTGATCTTCACGGCATGTTTGAACGAGGTATATGGTACGTATAGTCCAAGAACTCTTCACCATTGTGATTAGGGAGATGGAAATCAGTAGATGTGTTGACGAAAGGCAAGTGATTTTTAGAATATGTCTTTTGTGTGTAGTCACTGTATATTAGTACAAAAAAAAAAGTCATTTTTTGAGCAACGATCATTTTCTGCTGTGAGATAATGATCAACCACTGTCAATGATAACGTGCGTGTATAATGGTTTTAATTATGACTCTGAGTAGTCACAGCCAGCGCTTGGAGAAATTGTGGAGGGCTGGAGGCTCAAGAATGGGCATACATGAGCCAAAAGTTGGGCTGGACCATATTTTGGGCTGGTATCCAACCTTATTTGTAGCTTGAACATTGGATTGCCTAAAAGATTTGGGTCGAGTTTTGGCCCAACTCAAAAAACTTTAAAAATATGAACATAATTCGGTGCTCGAGAGAAGAGAAGGATCTGAAAAAATAAAGACCTCTATTGTTTCATTACCCTTTTCTTGCAAATTTTTATCCAAAATTATTATCATTTTAATATTTTTTAATTTATATCATTTCATTTGAACCGTATTCAAAACACATACAGTTTTGACATTCAGTTGTGAATCAGCATCCCGTCTAGTTCAATAACTAGTTTAATTTTCTTAACACTGGCTTTTTGCCTTTTTGGCTCGGGGCCTCCTAAAAAAGAAGCAAATTCAGGAGGGAAGGCCTTCTTCACATCAGAGAACGAAGTGCTATTGAGTGATGGTGCCCTCATTTATCCCCTTGCTTTAATGAAATTAATGAGGGTAGTTTTAAATGTTTCACTAAGGGCAATATTGGTAAAATAAAACAAAAATATAATTTCTATGTGGTGCTCTGTGTCTGTGTGGGGGGAGGAGTTTATCCATTTTTTATCATCATTTCCCCTTCACTTCTTAATTATGACTGATCAAATCTATTGTTAAAACAAATTCTAACTTCACGATTGATTGATATGTTTATGGTTTTTGTATTACCCAATGTATAGAAATATGGGACTTTTGTAGGTATAGTTTATATTATAAAATCAAATTAAACAAATAACTTAATATTTATTATATTTTACATTGTATTCGGTTTATTATATTTGTCAATGATAAGCTTTTTATAAATTTTTAATAATAAATACTTTATATATATCAATGATAAACTTATTGTATATTAATGTAAATCGGTCATACTTTTAAATTTTTAAAAATTTAATCCATATTTTTTGGATATAAATTTTTTTGGGTCAATAGGCCAATTTATTTAGAAATATATTTCCAATTTGGGCTGTCTTTCGGAATATCAGAAGGGACTTCAATCACTCCCTTCGTCTCTTGAATTAGCAAGCTCCTCTTGCTTCATATTGCAACGGAGGATATTTATGCTACCTTGTGGCCAAAAGCTTTTATAATTATATTTGTTTAATAATGACTGTACAATTGTTTATAGTCTAAGTAAAGGACATACCAAGCGAAATTAGTATATTAAGTTATATAATCAAATGTCTTTTTAGTCTCAGTAAAGTATGTACATCTCTCTCACACGCACACATTTGAAGTACATATCTATGAGTGATGGATAATAAATGTGTATAAACATAAATTAAGAGGCAAGCTAAGATTTTAAAAAAATTTGGGACTCTGAAAAGGCAATCATTAATATGTGTGTGTGTGGTGATATTCATGGCACGTTGGAACAAGGTATATGGTACGTACAAGAACTTACACCATTATGATTAGGGAAACAGAAAATCAGTAGCATGAATACGTACGTACATGTTGAAGAAAGGCAAGTGATTTTTAGAATTTGTCTTTTGTGTGTGCTGTGTACGTACGTAGTGATGTATAGTACCAAAAAAAAAATCATTTTTAGCAACGATTATTTTCTGCTTTGATAATGATCAACCACACTGTCAACTGTAACGTGTGGATAATGGTTTTAATCATGACTATGAGCACAATTGAGCAATGAGGTCGCTGTGTTTGTTGATTGATCCAGCAGTGGGAAAAACTGTGAAAGCCGAAGTACATTGAAATATACACGCGTCGAGTTGGGTCGGGCTTTACTTTAACTTGATATCCAATTTGATTTGTAGTTTGAACATTGAGTTTGTCCGGGTTGGATTTTAACCCAACTAAAAAATATTTAAAAGTAATTTTAAAATTTTGAAAATAATTTGATATTCAAGAGGGAAGAAGGATTAAGGAATGTAAAGGACCTCTATTATTTCATTACCCTCTTCTCACAGAAAGTTATCTAATATCATTATTATTTTAATCTTTTTTATTTTCTATAATTCTATTTTATTGGACTTGCATCTTTTCTAACAGTCAAATGAGTTAGGGAATTTGCTTCATCTTGTCAATATATATATAATTAAATATTACATTGCATAACATATTGGGCTAGACTGCATGCAACGTTAGAATGGATAGCACACTAGTTGAAGATTATGGATTTATAATATAAAAATCAAATTAAAAGGACAAGATTTGAGAAAAAGCAAAAGCAAGTTGGGGGAGCCTGAAATGATAGCAAGTTTGAACGAAGAGAATGACTTTTTGTGGGACTGAGATTGACATCCACGTTTGATTGACTTTCTTCATGCTCCGTATTTGGAAACAGCCATTGAAAAATGAAAAGACTCCCTCCTTTGTCCTTTTTCTTCAATTAACTCTCACTCTGAAATTTGAATATTGTGATTTTTCAGTAATTACATTATATTTTACACTTTAATTTAATCACTCGTCATCCTAATATCACTCATTTATGTTTGTACGTGTCTATACTCATATTTAATTAAGTTTGTACAATAAATCAAATGTTGAAGAAGTAATTTATTTTGTTTATTTATCCTGACTGAACTTATGATAACAGTGAACTATAAAATTTATAATAAATTACTAATAAAAATTAATGTGAATAGTATATGTTCTTATAACTTAAGCAAGTGAGTTGGAAGTTTGAAACCCAACTCTTATATGTATAGTAATTTACTTCCATTTTCAACCATATTCATTTGTAACATTTTATTTATGAGCTTTTATTACGAGTTCTTCTTAAACATGTCTAATGAAATATTTATGCCTCATTTTAAAAAACGTCCTTGTCATTGTTAGCTTAATAAATGAATTTTTTCTTATCTATCCTTTCTCCCTTTCAATGAACTATATCAATAAAAGTAATTTTTGAGAATTTGTAAAAAAAATTAATATTTAACTAATTTTGCTTAATTTCTATGACCTAAGAAAAATAGTTTAAGTAAATAGGATGTTATAAAAATTAAAAAAGATCCTATATATTAGATATTCAATATATATATATATATATATATAAAGATATGTGTAATTTGTTTGCAAGAAATGACTTACATAGAAGGCCCAAAAAAACTTACTTGTACTAAGTTATTTTTTCATTAGAATAAATCCTGCTCGAACATGTTTAAATAAATTCAGGTATTAAATATTGATTCTTTTAATGAGAATTTCTTAATATTGTGAGGGGTTAATCTTTTCTACAGTTTAACTATTTGATAAAGATACTCACATCTAATCAATCCTTGGCAAGGGGGAAAAAACCTTACTTCTAATTAAAAGCAATATGATCAAAAGCGTGTGTTGTGAGTTATAAGGATCTTCTCTGTTTAAAAGGGATGATACAGTTGCATATTAACGTTATATTGGCTTTCGCCTTTTCGGTTTGAGGGGCCTCCTTAAAAGAAGCAAATTCAGGAGGAAAGGCCTTCTTCGCATCAGAGAACGAAGAGCTATTGAGTGGCAGTACACTCATTCACCAACCCTGGGACCATGTCTCTTGGATATGCCGAGAAGCTTTCCTTCATAGAGGATGTGGGCAACGTGGGGATGACGGAATATTTCGAACCAGCTCAAGTTTTGCAAGAAAAAGTGGGTCATTTCTTTAGTTTTCTCCACTCGTAATCTTCCTAATTCCATCTCCTGTTACTGTTATTTATACTTGTTATACGTAACTCGGGTGATCTTGTGCAACTTCGACGCTTCTGACTGCTGTCTGGGTCTAATACTGAGAAACTTTGTTGCCTTGTGGAATCTGGTACCGGGGTTTTAGTTGTATGATTGATCGGCAATTGGTTAATTCACTTGTTTTGTGCCGATTAAGATGAAATTTGGGAAACTCATTGCTGGGCTGTCTGTATATCTGGTTGTATAAGTCTTGATCATCAACTTGCATGATTATGCATATAAACGACACAGAGTAAGGCTACTCTGGAATAAGATGAATGAACTTGTTCCATTCCAAGGGTTTTTGATGGAGCGAATAATGCTTTCAGACATTGAATGTTTACCAGCTGCATACCTAGATCTGATTTGAGGCTGAGACAAGAATATTCCAATAGGCAATAATTAAATAATGGATAATGGGAGGTGTTTTCGACTTTTTGTCCACATATA